TCGGGCAATATTCGATTAATAGTCGGGCAATTTTGGGATGTTATAAAAAAAAATCGGACAAATTCTGTAATTTTTTTCAAAAATTTAGTCAATTTTGGGGCAAATGTATTTTTTGGGAAAATTAATGTGATTCTGCGAAAAATTTGGTACGTCCGGAAAATTTTTTTGACCCCTAAAATGGTACACTGACCGAAATTTTTTTGGCGACGGGGGGGGGGTCGCCAAAAAAAATTTTCCGGGAAAAATTTTTTGGTACTAGTCGGGCAAAATCACGAAAAGTCGGGCAATTTTACGAAAAGTCGGGCAATTTTCTTTCCGCCCCCCTAATTTTTTCCTTCCGGTACGCCCATGTACGTACTTTCCAAATATTTCGTATGTAATTATCAGTGGAGTTACAAATCTTTATGCTATCATTCAGAACTCGATTCTCCGTATAATTGTACATCTTGTTCATATAGAGTATTGAAAAGTCAGTCCGAACTTTGTATTCATCATCGTATTTTATATTGATGATTGAATCGTTGCACATTAATAGATCGTCCTGGGTATACTCTGTTGATGTGGGTCTGAATTTTTCATCGCATATATATGGTCTACCGTCTTCCACGCCATAGCTACTTCTTGTGAAATATTGACTCGTAGGTGCGACATAGACAGTGAACTGCTTATTCACAGTGTAATACTTTCGGTGAAACCAAAAGGTTCTAATGGGTTTATTGCAACTTTTTTCATGCATTGTCGCCTTTACCCACTTATTGCGTACTTTCCAAATATTCTTTACGTAGTTTTCAGTGGAGTTACAAATTTTTATGCCATCATTCAGAACTCGATACTCAGTATAATAGTACACCTTGTTCTTATAGAGTATTGAAAAGTCAGTCCGAACTTTGTATTCATCATCGTATTTTATATTGATGATTGAATCGTTGCACATTAATAGATCTTCCTGGTTATACTCTGTTGATATGGATCTGAACTTTTCTTGGCATATATAAGGTTTACCGTTTTTTACTCCATAGTCATTTCTCGTGAAATATTGACTCCGAGCTGCGCCATAGACAGTGAACTGCTTATTCACGGTATAGTAACTTGCTTCGGATAATTTATCAACAAATCCGCGGCACGTATACCGGTCTTTAAACTTTTCCCACGAATTTCGAGTTCTCCAAATGGCCTGAATTCTTGAATCATTGGATGCACACATTTCAATACCTTTGTTTCCGACTTGATATTCGCGATAATCGTACATCTTGTTGTTGTAAAACAGCGAAAAGTTTTGCAAAATGTTGTAGTGATCGCCGTATTTCACTTTAACCAAATAATCATTGCAGGATAGATTAAGCTTTGCCGAACAAATTGCAAAATATCCCAAAGTCACTCCATAGTCTTGCCTTGTGAAACTCTGCTCAGTGGGTTTGAAAAAAACAGTAAAATTTCTGTATAATGTATAATTGTAGTAGTAAAACGCGTACACGGATGTATTACAAGGTTTAGAATTCAACAGTTCTTTTTCTCGAGAAATCAAATCCCGCCGTCTTTGTTTAGTAAAGGGGTCAGAAGAGTTACAAACTTGTAGACCATCGTCCGTTACTCTGTACTCGTTATAACGGTACATTCGACTTTGGTGCATCATTGAAAAGTTGTTCCATACTCTGTAGTTATCTTCGTACTTTATAGTATAGGTAAAATTGGCGCAGTCGGTTGGACTTTCCAAGATCGCCTGAATTTCACGTCTGCTCCGAAGATGTTGAGTTGTGAGTGAAGCGAACGTTTCTCTTTTGGCTGTTTCTCTCAAGTCATTCTGGTGAAAAATTTGATTTTCCAATGAAGATATATGGTTTTCATGCCTGCATTAGTTTGCCATTTTGTCTCTCTTGAATGGGAAATGGTAGTCGGTTCTTTGCGTGAAACTTTTACCTCGGGCGGCGAAGGGGTTGAAATATTCTGTTGTGGGCTCTTCCGTATTGTATCACTTCGGAGTGTTTCCATCGCAGTTCCTAAAAATAAATTACGGTTAAGAATTGCTGCTTCCGAAGTCCGAACATTCTCACATTTCCAAAATTTGTCTTCTCTAGCCATCTTTGAAAGATCAGTTTTCTTCCGCGCCTTGCGGCCATCAATTTGTTTCGATTTTTTTAATTAAGTTCGCCCAAAACATTACATGAGATAATGGGGAGTTTAAGCTTCACGTTTCCGGGAACGGCAAACGGCAGGTTCGAAATTTCTTGGCAAAATTTTCGTTGAACGTTTTCGTTTCATATTTTCTTTCTTTCGTCGAAAGAATAATTATGTATTTCAGTTTTAAAACAGCAAGTTTATGTACTCTTTGTTGCCTGATATCGTAATTTTTTTCCTTGCCTGGCGTTTGCCGTTTGACCTATAACGCGAAGCTTAAAGTGGTGCTATTTAATATTTACAAACGAGGGCTAGGAGCCTACTAGAAACCATATGGTTTTTACTATACGTTCAAGTTAGAGACGCGTTCGTCTTGTTCGAGAGAAATATCAACATTCAAGGGTTTACCTTTGAATTCATCTTTTAATTTGTTCGGTTCTGTTTTATCTTCTCGCCTGTCATGCTCTGAACCACCACCATGATAAAAACAGGCGAAAATCAGACAGAAGGAAAAGAAAATGACTCGATATAAGAGTCGAAAATTAAAGCCACGACTCATTTTGCAACTGCAAGCGTCGTTAACCAACTGTGTATTTTGGCAAAACACAAAGTTTAAAACGCTTTAATTTCAAGTTTTGACAATCTTTTTTTTGTAACATTTAGTCTATTGTTATGGCAACCAATGCGTAACAAAATTAGTACTGAGAATTCTCTAATGCTTCGTATCGTTGGAAAACAAGGACGGTAACCCCGATTTTTTTCATCCATGTTTTTTCTTTATGCATGTGCATAATGGGAATGTAGTAAAAAGCCATCTTCTGTAAGAAAGGAAAAGTTTCCTTTATCCTGAATTTTATTTGGCAATCATCAAGCAAAAATGTGCGTGGTGTTGACAAATGTGTATCTTTAATATTGCGTTTTTCGTATTACAAATAATTTAAATACATGTCTTCTTAAACAATTCGTTGGGTTTTAATATTTATAGTTCAATGACGTTTTTCACCTGCTTTTATAGACAGTTGTAACGAGTAATAGTTTTAAAATAGCAGGGAAGCATAATATTGCGAAGCCATAAAAAATGAAGATAAATAGTTCATAAACCATTGACGAAATTGGGCAAATTGCAGTTACTGTGCATGGTTTAACTCTTAACTAGTCTGCAAATCCAGACATCATTTCCGACGCTCATTCCGAGTTCGCTTGGAAAGTTACTTTCCCAGCGAAGAATGAGCGTCGGAAATGACGTCTGGGTTCGCAGACTAGCCATAAAGTCCATACAGGGACGAAACTTGAGGGGGGTGTGGGTGGGTGTGACACTCCCCCCCCCCCCACCAAAGCTGGATTGGCTGGGCAAATCATCCGGATTGGCAGGGCAATGAAAGATTTTAAATGATAGAATGTAGAGTTATTAAGTAGCTTCCAGGGCTTCCAAAAGGAATTGAATAGAATTTATAGACCTAAATTTTACAGATATTGGTAAAAAAATAAGGGTTTCATGCATGTTCCCAGCGGGCAAAATGACGTTTATTCAACGTTGAATCAACGTTGGAAATGACCTTCCAGACGTTGGATAGACGTTGAAAAAGGGTTGACTATGCAAATTGGATCGACGTTACTGTTTCGACGTTGAAACAACGTTGAAATTAGGTTGCCGATCTCGTCAACCATAATTCAACGTTGAATCCACGTTAAAACAACGTTGACATTGGTTCACAAATCGACGTTGTACATTTAACCATGAACGAACGTTAATTCAACGGCTGTTGGCTGCTGTTGAACCAATGTTTGTAAAACAACGTCAGAGCAACGTAGATATTAGGTTGTCGACGTCGCAACCTTTTTTCTACCAAATTTCAACGTTGAAACAACGTCGTGTGCCCGGTGGGTTTTAACAGGAATTTGTCCGAAAAAAAATTTTTGACCCTTAATTTAACTGGTTTATGTCCGGAAAAAATTTTTTGCCCCTTTTTTGAATGTCCGAAAAATTTTTTTTCGTCGACCCCCCTTTTTTAGGAGCGTCAGCGACGTGACGTATGCATGTGGTGTACATATGTATCAGTGTATTAATGTCATGAATTATGAATGTACAACCAGGGGCGAAACTAGCCCCTTTTAGTTAAGGGGGTGTGTGCTAGAATTGCCCTGCGAAAGCCGATGATGCCCTGCAGCAAAATTTTTTTTTTGGCCACTATTTCTCCCAAAAATGTTGGCGAGCGGGGAGGTCGAAAAAATTTTTTCCAGACATTTAAAAAAGGGGCGAAAAATTTTTTCCGCACATAAACCAATTAAATTAAGGGTCAAAAATTTTTCGGACAAATTCCTGTTAAAACATGCATGAAACCCTTATTTTTTAACCAATATCTGTAAAATTTAGGTCTATAAATTCTATTCAATTCCCTCTGGAAGCCCTGGAAGCTACTTAATAACTCTACATCCTATCATTTAAAATCTTTCATTGCCCTGCCAATCCAGATGATTTGCCCAGCCAATCCAGATGATTTGTACTTTGTCACCTACACACAATAATAATAACACACACCCCTCAAGTTTCGTCCCTGTGTACAACTCATCAAATTTTGCATTACAATTACTACAAAACATTCGGCATTAAAAGGATACTTGACACAGAGATGAATGGCTGTCACTGTTTCAATTTTACAGAAAAAAAAACTTTCTTACGAAGTGTAGACCCTAAGAAACCAAAATATGTCAGATGTTCACTTTGATGTATCATTTAAACTTTCCCAAGGGGAGGTGCATGACTTTTCAGGGGCAACTCCGTACCCAGGCTCTTTTCAGGGGAGGTGCAAAACGATCTCAGGCTGTCAGACTCAGGGAAGGTGTCACCTCCCCAGCTCCCCTCAAAATCTAGCCTCTTGCGCAGACGTTGTTAGTGGCCGAGGCCCCACCTAACACCACTAAGGCACTAACAACGTCTGCGCAGGAGGCTCTCAAAATCCGGCCATGAGTAGAACAGCTGGTGGTGGCACTAGTACAGTATCAACGCGTGAAACGTTTTAATTCTAAAAACTTTGTGTTTTTCCAAAACAATACACGGTTCGTGGCTTTAGTTTTCGACTCTTGTGTCAAGTCGTTTTCTTTCGTTTCTGTTATTAGTCTGTTTGATTTTCGCTTGTTAGAAAATTTGCTCAAAGACAGCTCAATTTCGTTAGTAGCGCCCGCAATTTACTGACCAGGCGACCAGCGGAGACAAAACAAATTTATGAGGCACTTTGTGTAAAAATAAGACCATGCAGGCGGAACGCAGTGTGACGAGATGTGGTAATTTCATTATTAATATACTACTGTGGTAATTGGACGATTGTGGTAATTGGAAATTTGTGGTAATTACTACGGTAATTTGAGAACTACCGTGGTAATTTTTCGTCAATTTCGGCCGATTGTGGTAATTTGAAATTTCCTGACCTTAAATGTACAGATTTTGGTGAAAAAACCCTAAACCCGAAAAAAAACCTTGGTTTTGGTCTTGTTTTAGGCGGAAAAAAAACTGGTTTTGGCCTTGTTTTACTTATTATTTTTACGGGAAATTTTTTTTACCCCCCCACTCTCCTCCGCAGGGTCTGAATTATATAGGATTTGTAGGGATAGTAGAGGATATTTAGTGGTGCGCGACGGGGGGGTGAGAGCGATGGTTGACATGTGGTTGACAAAATGTAATTTCCGTCTTCCCATCATACCTTGCGTAATTTGTCCCCCTTAATATTATGCAATTTTACTAAAAAATCGTAAGGCTCTGCGGAGGAGAGTGCCCCCCCCCCCAACATTTTTGGGGAAAATATCGAAAAAATATGGTAAAGTTGGGAAAATATAGCACCGTGGTAATTTTAGACCGAAAATATATAGTAATTTTTGAAACCGGATGTGGTAATTTGCCCTGAAAAAACCTGGTCGTCACCATAGATATAGGAGAACTAGATTGCTGACTGTAATGTATTCTATAACCAGGGCGCTATAAAACACGGGCGGTGAAACGGAGATAGCGCCCCTGATCTTTGTGTGATGCGCGTACCCCCCGTATACATTAATTTATATGTCAATAAAAATGGAATTGGAATGTTTATGCAAAAAGAGCTGAAAAAACTAAAGTAAAAAATGTTTTCTGCACATTCCTAAACAACTTGATGGTTTGAAGACATTGTTGGATTCATTTTCTGTATATCTGATGAAGGAAAGATTCATCATGAAGGAAAGATTCATCATGAGCGAAATAAAAATTTGAAAAGGAATCGAGCTGATCGAATGTGGGCATATTCCAAATACGAAAATTTTGGTATGAAATGGGATATTTTACTTCATAATGCGAAGGTAGGACAAACATTTTCACAGTAAGAATATTCTGACATTGCTTGGCTACTCTTTTTCAATAAACATATATAGCCCAAAATTGACAGTGCATGCATTTAAAACAGGTAGAATTTGAAAAAAAACCCTACAATTTCATTTTGTTCGACAATTTGAAAACTTAAATATATAACCGTTTTTTGTGTTAATCAGCCGGCCTGCTTGGAAATCCACTGAAAGTTCATTATAAAGTGTTTTTACTAATTGATTTGATTTCTATTATTGGAGTATAACTGCCGCCGACACTCCAAAAATATTCAGCGTGAATCTTTTTTCGTACGATTGTAGTCGTTGACATTGCAGTAACAGTGTTGCGGAAAACTATAAAGGCTTCAAAATATCTCCATTTTATGAAAAAAGCACAAAAAAGCACCGTTCAATTTTACGTGAGACATAAAGGCAAGTTAAATGTCTATAATTTGATGTTTTCAAGTTTATCTCAACGAGGAGAAAACACTATTTTAAATACGTCCGCGCTTTGACAGAAAAGAAAAAAATGTCGTCAAAATCGAGTTCAAAATGCATGTCTTTTCCTCAACAATCGCTTTGTTCATTTTGCATGTGAAATAAATATCAATTTTAACTATACAAGCTGATACTAG